TTATTATTGACAGTTTGAATTAATTATAAGAAGATATTGCCATGTTTGGTTTTTAAGGTGAACCCAAAATGCAGACTAAAATCTCTGACAAACCGAAAGGTACTTAAAAATGTTTTTACTAAACAAAACAAGGCTGTCAAGGCAGCAAGAGATACTAACAAAAATGGAGCAGGTACAGGAACAGACAGGAGGACCAAACTGAAGGCAGAAGACAGAATTTAAGGTGAAACTAACAAACATGGTTCAAGAAAGATGTGGAACAGGTGAGTGTGGGCGGGGCCAGAGCAGAGACATGCAGGAGGCAACTGAAAAAAAAAAACACACGCAGGGAGTCACAGAGATCAGAAGCAAGATAATTAAACAGATAACACACAGAGTGACAGTGACAGATATGAACAAAAAAAGGTACAGTTTACTGTCAGCAGTGCTTCTCTCAAAACGCACAGCAGAAACTGTTCCACACCACCTGCTCCTGGATTCCTCTCTGCTCATCAAACATCCACACAGTTRTGTGTCCATAGGTGTCATTCAGTCTGTGCCTGTTCTAAACTAAACTCCTGCTCTCGCTACACGAGTTACACGGGTGTCTTGGCTTACAGCTAGTCGGCGGTTTGCGATGTATAATTACAGCTCCTCTAAACCTACATTTTGTCAAGTAGTGTTAAGACACACAAGTATAATTACAGGTTTTGGTACACGAAATGACAATTAAGGAGTGATATTTTTGTCCTCTGCAGTGTGACACATGGGTTCTGTAGCTACAGTCAGCCGCTCTGGCAGAAGTTGCTGTAATGAGAAAAGTAGAGCCGGTATCCATGGAAATGCTGTTGGGAAAGTTCAGCTTGTGCATCTTAAAACTAACGGCACTTAAACATTTTAACGACTGCACAGAAGCGTTAAAGACCTGTCAGGACCTATTTGTTGCAATCACACATGCAAAAATACCTGATATACACTATATACTTATACATAAACTATTAATACTTATTTAACACTCAGTAACACTTACTGTGTGCCAAAACACATTTCTCTGTGTTCACATTGTGCAAAACATGAAACCTTTTGTGTGAAACTGTGAGTTCAACAACAGAGTGGCAAATAAAAAAAAAAACAATATGGTGAGAAATAATGTGAGAGAAGTCCCACTATTAAAGAACAGAGTCCAAATCCTCTCGTGCACATTTTTCTGGTTGAGTAAAATTAATTTTGTTCATCATCTCTTCTTTAATAACTGTTGCTATGGTAACACATGCAAACTAAATATAATTTGAAGTTTGGAAAAAAACTAGGGTTTTTATTTTCAAGGTCAATTTGAGCTTTTTCTGCGAACCTCATCAAAGTCATCTGGAGCTCAGCATACACATGGCGTTTGCAGTGGTGGGCAAAGTTCCCCTAAAGCACTAAAGCACTAATAGGGGAACTAATTTCCTGATTAATGTTTTAGGGCTTTTGCTAATTTAAAAAAATTATTAGTGGATTAGCATTTGCTAAATTTATAGGCAAAATTTAGAAGCACTAACTGAGGTCTTTAAATGTTATTGATGAACATTAATGTTAACAGCTGAGGGTGAAATCTGTCACATATTTTGTTCATTTGTATCACTTATTCACCAGGTGACATATTGACAATGTACGAATACAGCTGTGGGATGTCGATAAGCCTTAAGAGAGCAACATGGCAGTATGTGACTCATGTTGAAGAATATTCATGGTTGATTGGGTTATTTTAGTGCTTTAGAATTAGGAGACCTAAATATCTGAGTTAGTGTTTTAGGGCTAGTGGAACTAATTTTTAGATTAGTGCTGCCCACCACTGCCTGTTTATAAACTGCTTTAGCTGTGAGAACTCCTTAAGAATTTTGAGCAGTTGCACATTATAAAGGTACCATTTACAATCTGCTCTGCTTTATGTTGAGCAGTGGTGGGATGTAACTAAGTACAAGTACTTTCTTGCTGTACTTAAGTACATTTTCATGTATCTTTACTTTACTTAAGTAGATTTCCCCATGGGTACTTTTTTACTTTTGCTCCACAACATTTTACATTAAGTATCTGTACTTTCTACTCCACTACATTTCTGTAATGCGTTGAATTACAAATTACATTCATGTCATGTTGCATTGCTTTTGTTTTGTTCGTTTGTTTGTTTAGTTTGAAAGTAATCAGTGGCGAGAGGGGAATTTCTCTAATTGGTCCATTGAAGCAATGCAAAGCAGGAAAGTACTATTAGACCCTCCTTCAAAAAGGAAAAAAAAAAAGCAGAGCGATTCTGCATCACCTGGAGCAGCAGCAGCATGCCCACAATGGATTCCACAACGGAGGAAATGTGCCACTCATGGCCTTATTTATTCAAGTTAACTGGTTCAAAAAATGACTTGTTGAGATTTGATAAAGGACGATGGTGGCAAATTTACAGCTTCTGTTGTCACGATCTGTGATGATGCACAGAATCACACCAAGTGTGAACAGTGTCACAGAGGGTCAACACAAACTGCAGCATTGTTCACTAAAATCATTGATGTGTTTAAAATATACATAGGCACACTTCATAATATTGTAGACCATTAGGGAATACATTAAGCAAGTACTTTTACTTTTAATACTTAAGTATTTTTAAAAGCAAGCACTTACTTACTTTTACTCAAGTAAAAATGTTGATGTGGTACTTTTACTTTTACTAGAGTACATTTTTGTCTGTTTATTTGTACTTTTACTTAAGTACAGTGTTTGAGTACTTTCTCCACCACTGATGTTGAGGGATGCTTCTGTTACCCAGCCCCTCCTCCCGTCGTTGTTTTCTGAAAACATTGACCTGAATCTGCTCTGAAAGTGAGAAATGAGCCCGCCACATGTTTCTAAGTAAATTGGCTCTTGTGATGTTAAAGGGACGTTATCATTTAGAGGTGTAGAAAATAACTCCCAGCAGCTGATCATCAAACTGAAAAGAGGACTAAAGGGAAAAGGGTTTAAAAATGCTGTGAAGGTGATTTTCCATCGCTGGCCTCCTCGGTGAGGAGTTCTCTGTGAAGACGTGTGATCCTGCAAGAGGAGAATGTGCCTCAACATAAAATAGCACTAACATGCAACAACACCACCTGGATCAGAGCTATTTTCATACACAGATTCAAGCAAAATCAGTCAAAGGACTAGAGGAACCTTGCAAACCTTTTAGGACTTTCTGGAAACTTTCTCACAAATATTGTTTGCAATTTGTAGCCAGCAGCCGCTGTTTATTAAATATGCTTTTAAAAMAGTAATTATAATAAAGACACATCACGTTTGAGTTTTTCTCAGCCCACTTAGTCCTCTGACCTGTGCCCACACTGCTCAGTCCCACATTAACTCTCTGCATGATGCGACACCCACCTGTTGGTTTGCGAAACTAGAAAAAAAAGAGTTTTAAAAATAAACCATGTGGAGACAGAATAGATTAATACGTGTGAGAAAGCACATAAAATAAAAAAAGGTTCCCATGGAAACTAAACAGTTGTGTTTAATTGGTAAAACAAATACTTATAAATCGTCTAAAATGCAAAAATAAGAACACATCAAAAGGACATGAAGAAACTGATGGACTGACCTGCTTTTTAATTGGTCACCACATTTTTAAAATAAGTTATCAGATAATCTGATGAGTTTTTCTTTTTCTTTAGTTATTCTGAAAAATACTTGCACAATTTAAAGTTGTTTGAAACAGTCAGTACAATTCAAAACTACTGATTCATATCTTGCAGGGGGATTTGAAAGAAAAATCTTCTAGCCGTGAAAGAGACACTTTATTAGGTGTTTTTGTTTTTATAAATTTGGCAATACATCTTGCATTATTTTTAGAGCAGATTATTTACAATTTAGATAACAAAAATCTAGATTAATTCTGCGTGAACACATCCAAACTCTTATTGACTTCCATTTTATCTGAGGTCAGAATTGTCTCTTCAAATCTGGAAGCAGTATATTTTTACAACTCCTGTATAAAACAGTGGACCATAAGCCTCTGCCTCTTACAGATCAACACAACTGTGTTTTCACACAGCGACTCTTTGAGGCTCAGTTTCTACTCCGTGTCTCTGTCTGCCTCACTTATTAAAAGTTCTGTCAGTGAGTGAGAGACTCAGGTGTGGGGTTACCATAAGGAGAAACAAACAGGAGTTTAACCATTTCTTTAGATTTTTATTCTCAGCACACTTTTTATACAGGTCATAAAGTAAAATGTCAGCATTTTGTCAGCTTAGATTATTACAAAATAAAAGTCTCAAATTACCATTGAAGATAGTTGGTGTGCGATGTCTTTTTCAGGCACCAGCTGCATTAATGTGTTTCAGGAGCTCTTCAAAATGTTCTCTCTCTTGTCTTTGTGTGTGTGTGTGTGTGTGTGTGTGTGTGTGTGTGTGTG